AATTGGTGCTTTGACTCCAAAACGAAATTTTGCATCAAATTAAAATGAATAAATAATGCAAAGCTTTTTATAAAATCAGGCATTTGGGGAATTGTGGGCCACTTTTTTTAGGGAAGTACTTATTGCTTGTTTTTGGCGATTTAATTGCACAATGCAAGTACATATTATTAAAATCACTCATAGCTATAATACGAACTATATCTTTAACAAGGCTGGACAAAGAAAACCGTAAATCACAACCCAAAAAGTCCGCTAAACCGGCGTTGGAGTGTAATTTCGAAGTTATTTTATTTGAAAAAATTAAAATCTGCAAAAGGTGTCCAAGAGCTCATCGAGTGCTTTTAGCGCTATCAATTTTTTTTTATCGTAGCAGCTTAACCCGTCGACTGCTGGAGTTATGAGTTCACAAGAGAAGATGGCGGTGTGGTGATAGTGTTGTGCAAATAATGTTTTAAATTACATGTACGTAAACGTCATTTTTGCATATAATTCGGCCTATATATATGTACAACAGGCGAGATTGTTTTGCCTTTAAATGAAAGAAAATTGAATCGTAATATATTCTAAAAAGCAGTATTATACTTCTCATTCTATAATGTTTAAAGTTCTAACTTTATAAAAGTTAAAATTTTATTTTATAAACGTTTGAATGTTTCATTGTTTTATTTAATCATATGATAAATCTTAAGTAAAAGACTTGTTTCTGTCATCATGAATAAATAAATATTTAAGGAAATACATTTTATTACATGCTTTTTTGAAATATAGTACCAAAAAAAAACATTTTTGCAGACTAGACAAATACTGAAAAACATAATGTATTTTTTAAAAAATTATTGAAACATCTGCTATTTTTTTATTTTAGTCAATTTTTCATTACTGGTGGTGGATTTCTATGCAAGACACCTTCCTTTTTAAAAAGCAGTTTAGATTTTTTGTTTCCGATTTGTCAATCTTGAGATAAACTGTCCGCAATTGGACAACTAACTTTTTGGAGTTTCGATCTGGATGCTGTCTGCAGATTATGATATTACATAAAAATTAAAAACAAACCATTATTTTTATTCTCCAAATATGTACTAATATAGGCAAAAAAGTTTTTTTCATATTTATAATAAAAGACCTAAGAAAAAAATTTTTTAAATTTGGTCTTTTAAGAGCCTTCTAAAGTGTAGTAGTACCTTAATTTAAAAATTAACCTTAAGTAGGGTGTTGTGGGGTGATGTGCAACACCGGCGATTTCTGATTTACAGTTCGATATTGAACAGAACCAAGTATTGCCATTTGTTTGTGTCCTCAGTAACTTATTCTTTTTGATATATAACTCACGAGACAGCTAGCAGCCAGGTTTGCTGTACGTAAGTTGAGTTAGATTTCTCGAGCAGGAAATATTTTTCCCGCTTTACATTTCTAGTCGTTTCGAGAAGGGTTTTAATTTATTTTACAAATAAAAATGTGTTTATTGTTGGTTTTTTAAGTGTTTTTAAATATCTGTTTATATTTTGTGTTTCCATTGCATTGTATTGCGTACAAATCATTTTTCGCAAAATATAATATTTCGGGTGATGTGCAACACTTTTTTATTTTTTATACTTTACGTGCAATAACTGCGATTCATAAGATAAATACAAAATTCTGAGTTATTTCCCTTTAATTATAGTCCTTATTCAATTATGAATAAATAAAAAAATAAACAAAAAAATTATTTTTTTCTTTGGTGAAATCTCCACTTTTCAGAGGTCAACTATACCTTAGTAAATTTTTTTTTAAATACAATTTTTTAAATAATTAAAGAGATTATCATCGATATTTATATGCATTACATACCTGAATATATCCGCTTATTTTTACACTTATGGGTTGCAGCTAGTTTTACTAACTAGTTCCCGACTAGATATTTTAGACTTTGTCGGTATATTACAAAAGTTGTTTCTGTTTAAAAATGGAGGGGGCTGAACTGTTATTCTGTAACTCATCGAATTGTCCCAAAAATTTTTTTTTTTTCAAAGTGGCTTGCAGTGTGCACGATAAAACGGGAACAAGTAAACTGAAATCAAAATCAATGAAAATTTTGTTAGTGTACTATGTCACCTCGTTTGTGAAGGAAGGAATTTTAATTTTGATTTCAGTTGAGTTGTTTCCGTCTTATCGTGCACACCGCAAGCCGCTTTTAAAAAAGCTACACGGAGAAACTTTTAATACCACTAATTCTTAAAACTGGTGAGACATTTTAGTATGTTAGGTTAGATTCAAGGGAAAAACGACATAGGTTATAGAAATTGCTATTGAGACTATCAAAAACACTCATTCAGTATATATTTTACAGTTCTTCATAAGGAAACTAACGAAAATTAGTATGTTGTTTTAGAAAGAAAATAATAATTTTTGCAAAGTTGGGAAGCCATGAATTAAAAAGAAACACAACAAATTAATTGTCTATAGATACTCATAGAGACGATAGTGATACTTAGATCTGATGGTAGATGGCATTAGTGTATGTCACTGTAACTGTAGGTAAATATATTTAACACGACGTAAGAACCTAACCTATATTATTAACGCACACACGCACACGCAAGTAAAGACACGACGATTGGTCACGGAAACCGAAAGATCGCACGATTCGTTAGAAGTACACAGCTGAATCGTCCTTATATATTAAACGAGTGGAAAAATATGTGCCTTCGAGAGAGAGCATTTTTTAAAATAACTTACTAATCAAATTATGTAAATAAGTAAAAGTCGTGAAAAAAATTATGTTATATTGAGGAACAGTTCTTGAATTTAATTTGGCATGAGGAGACATTCACGTTTATTAATAAAAGGTTTTTTCTTTCATACACGTGTGAATTTCAACTTCTTCTTCTTTAGAATTTCAACTTCGAAAACATTAGGGTTAGTTCGCGACGTCAGGTGATGGACTCGGTGATGCTCGGGTGAAATCGGTTAAGTCCGCCCGCAGTCCTTCCAAAATTGGTATGTTACGTTAGAATGTCTCTTATATATTCTATCTATATGTGTAAAAAAGGTTAGAATTACCGTATTATTTCACAAACAAAAACTAGCATTTTATTCTTTTCTAAAGAAAAATAAGACTATTTCTAATGCAGATAGTAATTTTTGTACACCGAAGGTTGCTTAATATATAACGAACTTATCATATTTTCGTATTAATGTTGAAATTATTAGCACAACGCACGAAAAATCCTCACATTCTAACGTACTTTTAGAATAAACATAACCAAATATATTTAATATTATAAGAAAAAGTTTCTCCGTGTACAGTTTGCAGAAATATTAATATTTTTTGAGTTTCTAAAAGTGCACGGGTAAACGGTCGCAACGATAACTTTCTTCAGTATTGTCTGAATTAAAAAAATCAAACGTAGTTTTACTCAGTAGGCTTACTGTTATCGTGTGAACCTCAATAAACAATTTATCTTAATAAATAACAAAATGGCGGACTGTTAAAAAAAATTTCAGAAATCGCTTGTTTTTTCGTAAGTAATTGTTTAAAAAAAATAGGAAAATGTTTATGTAAAATCATGACCGAGGTTCGCACGATAGCCACTCATGTGTAGAATAATGCCTCCAAATTGCAGACCGATCGGTTAAAAAGATTTTGAGTAATCCTTGTCACCAGTTAGAAAAAAGTGGTTTTGAGAAAGACGCGTTTAAAGATTTGGTAGCTGTAGCTCGCGCCCGTGCACTGTTTAATTCTACGCGCTGTAACTTTGTTAGTTTTTCCAATATCTGTCTAAAACTTTTACACGATATTTCTACGATATTGTACTTTCGAAACATACAAAAAAAAGTCGATTTTTTCAAACCGTCACATAGGAAAAGTGCCTTAATGAAAAGTCTAATAATTATGAAAATCACTCATTTTTTGCTGTCAAAAAGGTATATAACCTCTTCACTGTCACTGACCTCTGTAGAGGCACAAAAATGTCGTGCCCTGTATTTCCATGACCCCTATAGGGGCATCGACAAGAAACATTTAAAAGTTATAACGAATCTGTCTGAAAATGCCTACTCGGGGGTTTTCGGGGTCGTTGAATCCAAATCCGTGGTCAAAAATCCAAAATGTCAACCAAAAAAAATTTTGAATTCGTTAAGTTTAAAATTTTTTGGTCACCATTTTAAAGCCGCCATTTCGAATTTTCAATTTTCGACAACGGATGTGGATTTAGACCACGGAAATTTTTTTGAACATTTATGACACAAAAACTTCATTTTCTCTGGACTGTGAAGGGGTTAATATTAGATACTTAAAAAATATTAAAGAAAAGCAAATTAAGAATGTCTGAGAACAAAATAATTTATCTATATGACACCAGAGATAAAGATCTATTTGTAAGTTGAGGCGAAAGTTGCAATCAAACGACATTGATTGAAGATTTGAAATTTTTAGGTACATGAAAACTACATTGAATCCCATGATAAATGTTCAAAATACAACTAGAAAAAGAGAATTCCATTCCGGGAGAGATGGCCAAATATCTAAATAGCGTTTGGCTAGCGTTTGTCTAGACCGTCCGTATTCGGACAGGCTATTGCCTGTCTATCCAGCGGCTGACAGTTGACAGTTTCCAGCATTACATTCTTGGGCAGCCGCTGACCAGTGTTTCAGGCCAGCCACTAGACTGGAAAATAGATGGTCTGGTCTGAATCAGGCCAGCTCCAGAAGATTTTTATGCACGGATTATGTTGACTTTGGAATGATTGGCAATACTTGTTTGACAACTTGAACATGTGAATTTTTTAATTTCTCATTTTTTTGGAAAATTAAACATAATTTTTCAGCCATCAATTTGATTGCAAATCTACTAATCCGTTTCTATTATTGTATTTACAGTGTTTATTATTAAGTTGAAAATAAATTTTGTTTTTTTATTCATAGAAAAAGTGAACAAAAATGGAAACAAAAACTATGAAGAAAAATTCTTAAACAAAAAAGAGCGATAAAATGGAAAGGAATTAAATAAAAGCTGAGAGAATTTTCAAGAAAAAAACTGGGTTTCTTTATTTCTTCAAGTGCCTCCTTCGACAACATATTTCCATAATAGATATATTATACTATACTGTACAACATACTTCAGTCAGAGAGCTTAGAAATTTTTTACATCGCAATATGGTTGACAATTGTAAACAGTTTATTATTTAATCACACGACGAAAATATAATTTATATTTCACTTTTTTCAAAAATTTATTCGCACTATGTATTTATATATGTATATATATATATATAATATTAAAATAGTTTCCAAGCTATTGACGAGCCTTTAATTGCGCTTTTTCCCCAAAATTATTCACTCCTCTGAAGCAACCATACACCCGAGCCAATAAATATTTATCCTCAATCTTACAAATTTCTCTAATTATACGTTTTTCTCTTCAATCGAAGGATTCACTTCAATGAATTAAGAAAAAAATTTTGCGATAAAACGACGATTCTACAATAAATACACTGGAAGATTTTTCCTTTTTTGTCACTCGTTAATTTTCTTTTTTACAGTACAAGACAAGAAAAAAAGAAATCGCCGTAAAATTACAATTATCTCGATTTCTTATATTCTACTATCAAGTAACTTAAAATTGAAAATCGCATTTAAACTTTTTACATAACGCGCTCAAAAAAAGAGGAGAGCGCAATAAATATTCACAAAAAAAAATGCTCACGTTCTTCAGTCTTCTAGCCCTTAAAACCTCGAAACCACCGCTTTTTTCATATATATATATATTTATTTATATATTTATATTTATAGGTATTATATATCCATTTCATTCTACTAACATTAATTTATAAATAATTTAGACCGGTGAACAATTTTTTTCGAAAAAACATTATAGTAATAACTATAGAATTATTAGCACTAATAATCAATCACAATTTTCCTATTATATTCTCATTAAAAAGAGCTACTTGTATATTTAATTTTTCTTTTGTAAAAATCTAAAAGATGTTCATCTCATAAATATTCGCTACTTTTTGACTTTTTTTATTTCAAAGACTTTCTAATTTAGATATCATTATAGAAAGTATTTTGAAATTGGACAGGGGGAAACTTTTTTCTTTATTCATGAAACGCGCAGTGATTTCAAGGACTGATCTAGGATATTCGCCCGGATAATACATGTTCGTCACGACGACATTTAAACCAAAGAGGAAGAGAGAAAGAAAGAAATGGAACGTCACTTTACGAGACGAGAGACGTCCAATTACTGCCTACTACCTCGTGATATTCACTTTCACTCCTTCCGTTTCTTGCAGGCGCTCTATAAAATTTGTACAAGAATCTCTCTCTCTTTCTCCGTTAGCGATGAGGTTGATAAAGTGGATGGGGGGAGTGAGGAGAAAGGGGTGAGACTTTATCGTTGGCTTGTATTGAATTTCCGGGATCACGCACAGTCCAGTGAGGCTAGTGACGCTGGACTATGTGGTCCGCCTAGAATAAATGGAGGACTCATTGGAGGACCACCACTTCCTGTACTATTGCCGTAGAGTTCTAAATCACCAAGGGAACCGCCATCAACACCGCTTCCACACTTGTCCGATTTGCCCTCCTGTTTCAACACCATGCGTCGCCATTTCGCACGCGCATTCTGGAACCACACCTGCAAAACAAAAGACGGGAAATCATCGATTAGATAGAATATTATTGTAATATGATGGATTTCCGGTTATATTTTTTGTCTCTATTCACAGCGTTTTAAAAAATTATTGACACTTGAAAATTAGGGGTTGATTTTCACTTCCTTCTTATGTATATGTGCTTATTGATGACGAGGCGGAAAATTGTTTTCTCTAAGGGTCAAACTTGTTCCTAAACTAATAGAAACAAATGTCACGGGATAATAATGGGTGATTAGCTTATTTAAGTGGAACGAAATTTTGGTTTAATTTATGTTCTTTGAGGAAAGAGAAATTCTATATTGAGAAAATTGAAAGCCTTGATTTGGTGCGTTCGAAATAGTAAAAATGGACTTATCCACTTTTGTCCGCTTACTCCTCATATACATATATACTTTCGAGTCAGTTATTTCGTGCATATATTTCGAGAAATTTAAACAAATGCAATTTGACACATAACCAAAGTTAATTTTAAAATAGAAAAAATATATACTGAATTACTTACATCCGAATACTTTTTTGGACTGAGAAGTCTCATTATTAATTAAAGTAAATTATAAATAAAGAATTTAATTATTTTGGGCATTTCTTTAATTAAACTAAAATTTTAAATTTTATTGGTTAAGTACAGATATTTTTAAATTAATATAATTCTTTATTAACAATTTTTTTTCTTAATGTAACAGTGATTATGTGGAAATTTATTGATTTATCATTCTCGGAAAATGCAAAGTAAAATACCCTACAAAATAGTTATAATAGTTTAATAGTTAAAGAAAAGTTTTTAACCAAAAAAGTTGAGAAAATGTCATTTTATAGAATTTTTGGTTACCTATAATATCAAAATTTATGATGGAATTAGGTTTAAAAATAGGTCAATCGAAGCGTTTTTTAATGCTCTACTAGTTGGTAATGATACTTTTAAAGTTACTTTACATTTTTCTACCAAATTTTCAAAAAAGTCTTATTTTAAAAATTTTTAGATTTTTAAAAGTTTAATATGTCTGGTTTATATGGGCAAAAAATGTTCAGTAAGGGCTCAAAAGATGCGTCTAAAAACCCCTACAGAATTAGAGAAAAACATTTATACGTGTTCTAACATTTTCTTTAAGTTATGGGCAAAAAACGATTTTTTGAAAGATTAAAAATCAAAAAAAATATAGTTAAACTTTATGAATCAGGATAAAAATACTCTTATATTATTTCCACACGTGAAATCTACAATTTAAAAAAAAATCCATTCCTAAAGCTCTTCATAATCTCGAGATATTTTTGAAAATGTAATGTTAACATACACACACACATACGGAATGACATTTTTAAAAAATGTAATTTTTGAACTCCTGAGGTTAAATAGTATAAAGATATGTCAAAAAATTGAACTGGAAAACTTTTGGTATTACAATATTTCTTTTATAAGGAAGCAATATTTTAAAAAATGGATTTATCAACTTTTGTCCGCTTGCTCCTCATATTACATCGACAACTATTGAATTAGTAGCATCCTAAATGAGTATACGTATATGTGACCTGGACAGTGAAAAGGAACCTTACGTGCGAAAACAAGTTTTCGAGAAAACAGCAGTTAAAGTTTAACTTAGAAAAACCCTTGTAACTTTTTTAAATATTAATATTTTTTAATTAATTTATGCTTATTTTCTTCACCGTGAATCACAGTATCTAAATAAATAACATATCACGGAGAAAATTTGTTCCTTACATTTTACCGAATTTTTCAATAAAGTTGGGATATAGTAGCATAATCGTAATTTTTAATAATTTTTATATTATTTTTTTGGTAACAATATTTAAAATCTAATGTGATATCTTTATTCCTGAAGAACTAGTACTGTAAAAGTTGAAAAAAAATTGAAACTTAACGTTTAATGTAAATTAAATAAATACCTCCTTGATGGGCACTAACGTTTCAGGAATAGTTCGGTAAAACTTTCTTGACTTGCCCAAAGTGTTAGTTTTCAGGAATAGTTCGGTAAAACTTCCTTGACTTGCCTAAAGTTTTAGTTTTCTGGATTGAAATACTTTATTTCAAGTGTCCCGCAGCCAAATGAAAGACTTTCACACTAATAGTTGATTTTTCCAACTTATTTAGACTTAATTAATAATCATTTTATTATTATTTAAATTAAAATTCAATTAATTAATTATTTTAAACACTTATTAATTGCCAAATATGTAATAAATGCTTTTAAATCATGTAAAAAGAAAATATAAAATGGCAATAACATACTTATTTTTTCAACATATAATTTATTCATTTTAATTAAATATGAATAATAGTTAGTAAGTAAGCAAGCAATCAAGAAAGCAAGTAAGTAAGCAAGTAAACATAAGTAAGTAAGCAAAAAGGAAATAAATAAGTAAGCAATTAAAGATATAAGTAAGCATGTAAGTAAGTAAATAAGTAGGTAAGCAAGTAAGCAAAAAGGAAATAACTTGCTTGCTTACTAGCTTACTTTCTTATTTGCATACTTACTTGCTTATTTCTTTCTTGCTTACTTTGCTTACTTGCTTACCTACTTATTTGCTTGCTTCCTAATTTCCTTCTTGCTTACTTGCTTGTTTTCTTTCTGCTTACTTACTTCCTTATATGCTTACTTGCTTACTTTCTTATTTCCTCCTTGCTTACTTTGCTTACTTGCTTATTTCCTCCTTTCTTACTTTGCTTACTTGCTTATTTCCTTCTTGATTACTTACTTTCTTATTTGCTTACTTTCTTACTTGCTTATTTCCTTCTTGCTTACTTTATTCCTTATTTGCTTACTTGCTTATTTCCTTTTCGCTTTTTAATACCTCACAATTATTATTTAATATTTCAGAAAGATTAATTTTCTAATTATTAATTTAATAATTTCCAACTTGCACTTTTAATATGTATATTTTTAATTTTAAACACAAAAATTTGAGAATAATAAGGATTTTCATAAATTATTGTTTTATTCTATTAAATACAAATTTAAACATTTTTCTTTATAATAATAAAAACATAATTTAAAAATATTTCATAAATTGACCTTGAATATAGTTAGAAATGATTCATTAATATAAATAATTTTTAATTTTGTACAACGATAGTTTATTAATTTGAATCTTTCTCACAAGCGGTGAAATAAAATTGAGATTAATATATAAGGACAGTTGAAACTTTCTGAAGCAATAATGTAAAGCGTGCGATGTATGTATTAGTGTATGCGTTTAGAATGTACTGTAGGCAGGTGTATCAATTAGTATTTGTTCGTAAACAATTGTAGGGGGTTTAGGTAGTGATTAAAGTAGGTAAATTGAGAGTTACGGCATTATTAATATAGATCTACTGAAGTAACATTATTTTTTATTTTTGTTCTTCAAGTTTTACCGAACTTTCAGTAAATTGCAACTCGTCAGTTTTACCGAAGACTTTATCTTACGTTTTACCGAACTATTCAATAAATATGAATGTAGCGAGCACTTGGCTTACGTTTTACTGAACTGTAACTGAAGCGCTAATACATGTATCGTGAGCTTTATGATTTTTACATTATTTTTCAATGCAATTTCTTTTACAGTCTAGTTCTTGAAAAATTACTGTTTTGACACTTCATCCCAGTTTTACCGAACTAAATTCAGTAAAATTTCAGGAATAAATTTGCTCCGTGTACAAGTAATGAAAAATTTTTTTTAATAATTGTTTATATAAATTAATAACAAACTCCCCAAATATAGAAAAAATAATCTAAGTTTTCTAACTTGCAACAATAAGTATAAATAAGTGACACATGTTTGTAAGGGTTTTCGAGGCCGCTGATTACGAATATGATGTTAAATTGAGAATTTGACAGTTGACAGCTGTCAACTTCTCTAAAAAGTGATCGTTTTTTGTAAAAAAGACAGTAATAAGGTTTTTGAGGTCGCTGATTACGAATATGATATCAAATTTGAATTTTAACTGTTGACAGTTGTAAAAGAAACTGTCAACTTTTCTAAATAATAAAAAATTATCGTCTTCGTTATTTAATTTGTATAATAACGAAAAATCAGTTTTTTCGTATTTTTACTCTTGTTTCTTTTAACTTAAAATTTTTTTTTTCAAACTTCCAATCAACTTATGATTTTTTGGTTTTCACCATCTTAAAGAGCGTTTCAAACCCTATCCGAATCAACAAAAAAGTAAAAAATGATTTTTTGACACGTAAGGTCCCTTTTCATAGACCAGGTCACATATATACAATTGAGTCAACAGAAGAACACTGAATTACCCAGGCAGAAATTTCCGTAAACAACCGTAGTTGACGTCCGATCCACTACTAATGCAATACTGTTTGTCACTACTGACTTTCCGTGTAACTTGTACTATTAGGAACTCCGGCATTTTACTGGCTCAGTACGTGCAATGCGTTAGTGAAAAAGTTGCTATTATGACTGTTTTGCGGTTAAGCTACTAATACAGCCGTTAATATGTTTATCAAATACTATATCATAATTACAAAATACAAATACTTGTACTATAACTTTAATCTACTCTTTAATAACATACTATTCAATTATTTTAATGTGTTAATGTTTTTCTAATCCCACCATAGTATAGAATTTAGGTTATCTGTACATTTAATTCGGTAGAAAATTTTTACTACCTATTACTTTTTCCGATAAATTATTATTCAATAAATATACGAATTACAAAATAAATGGATTAACACGAATTCATATGAAAAAAAGTAAAACAGAACAGAATTTGTCTATTTCTAATTTTTCTTTACAAATGTTAGATGTTGAAATTGTAGGAAACGTTTAAGGGTTATGTTTCTTCAGCATTGCTTTACTACTGGTCTGAACAGAAAATCTCTGTACTAACCCATTACTGATTTTCAGTACTAAGCCCAAGCCAGAGGCGTTGCGTTACCTGCCGATGTTGGACACGTTGTGTGCCAGTATTAAAGTCAGTACTGGTTGGCATTTTTCCGTACTGAACCAGTTGCGTCGAAAAACA